AAATAAAGAGGCCTTTCAGTATCACTGTCACAGGTGGCAAGAAGCAGAGGAAAAGGCATGCCTGGAAATCCTAGCGGAAAACAGCACTGTATACCTAGTCCTTATAAAATATCTAGATTGCAACTCTTTCTGCAATGCACTTGAATACTACACAATGATAAGAGCAACAGAAAACTAAGATATAAAATGAGCCCCAGGGCTTCAGATCAACTACTATGTAAATTAGAGCCTCAGGAGTGGGTAGATTTTCTAGCTCATTTTATACATGGAATTGAAATAATATTTCAAATAATTATGAGATGACTGATATATGCTGCATTATTTTAAGATTAAACATAAAAAAGTGTTTACTTTAGAACAATCTGAAGTCTATTTTTTCTTCTAGTTGCAGCTCAGCTTGGTCTACTCTGATTAAAAATTATGCAAATTTAAAGATAAGAAATATGGAGCTGAGGGTCCAGTGCACAAAATAAATTCTTAATGGCTCTTACTGGTGATCTGAAGTTTTGTTAAATATCACCAAGGTTTTTTTGTTTGAAGTTCTCCCCACACAGAGATACAGCATTATAAATTCTAATGCCAAAGTAAACTGGTGGTTTCTTTCCTCAGAAATATTTCTGCTAGGTATTCAGCATTATGGACCCACAACTCTTATAAATCAGCATTGTCTTATGTTCTACTAGTAAGAATCCATACTGCATGCTGAACATGCATGTTGTACTATGCAATCCATGGGGACATTATCAGCGCCAAATTGATTTCTATATCACAATTTCCTGCTCGCTTTGAAAAGGAAGGGGTCTGTGTATTTCAGATTAGTGTTAGTTTTGAGAAGGAGGGTTTTTACACAAATGCACAAACTGCTTCCTACCATGGCTGACTAGAAAAGACACTATGCAAGAAAATGTTATGGTGGAATCAACATTAAAGATGATACACAGAGAGCAGCGGGTCTCTCTCCTGCGTGTGACAGGAGCTGGTACAAAATTAATCCACCTCCAATCCAGAGGTAGGCAATCCCTAATATTCTCTTTTAATGCCTTATTCTGAGCTGGTGTGGAACCTATACCGCCAGTATTCAGCGGATGTGCTGGCAGTTCTCCCTACTCGAGAATACCATGGGCCTGTCCTAACTCATGTCAATAAAGTGAAGATGCACTATCATTTAACTAAAAATTAAAGCGCTGCAGTTATCTATAATCTAGTGGAGAAGAGCTCGCAGATTCTACATTATAAAAAAGTATCCACTCCTTTGTCACCACAAAAACAAATATATTTACTCACTGCATATTTAGCCCTGGGTGACCTCAAATCCCAGAGCGTCCAGCACTTTCCCAGAGTTAGTGCTGCATGTCCTGCCTGCAGTCCAACCAGATCAAGACTGGGGACTTCGTGGATCAGTGTCCCAGAACAGGAAACCTACCTAACCTGGGATTTCAAAGGAACATCCAAGGTAAAGCTTGTGGAAACATGAAGGTTTTTTCCTTAGAGAATAGTTTGAAATCCAAAGTCCACCCAGGTTTGAGACAAGACTGTGATTACAACATTCCCAGTAAGAGAATTAAACTTTCCGTGTGCAATCTGACCACCAGTTGGGTAGCATAAGCCTTGGGAAAGCTAAGAAAGTCAGCAAACGCTGATGGGCAGTCAACAAGTGCAGGTCAGGTACCAAAGGTGGTCTGATGTATTTATACTGGGTAAACGGTATTGGTGGGGGCTGGGAGCAGGAGAGGAAAGAAACCCAACAAGGCAAGCCAAGTCTTCCTTTTGAGAAGATGCTCAAGTTGAGCTGCTTCAGCACTTCATTTGGGTCTTTTCTAAAGCAATTAACAAGATCATAAGCTTCCTTAACATGTGTCCATGATATCTGTAGAAAGATTCATCCTGGAACAAGGATGGGGGGGAAAGGTAATACAGGCCATTTATATTAAAAAAACATTTGTCCAACTATATATTTTTTTATAATTGTTTCAGCAATTATACAACATGGGTGACTAAGACCCGTTCCTCCTTCTGTTCTTGAATATTTTTAGATAAGAAGTTAGTCTTCCAACTTATTCAAGTTAGTGTGAGAAAGTGGAGAACCAATACAAGGTCTAATAATTGAATTTTATCTACATAAATAAGGCTTGGCAGAATTTGATTTTTTTTTTATAATTTTGATGGATATCAATGTTTATTTTTATGCTTTAATATTTTTATTGATTTAAATTTTCAGAGTTGCAGGATATGATGGGAGGTCAAACAATAATTATGTAACGATAGTACATGTTGAGAGTCAAAAGTTAAAGCTTTACAACTGTTGACGGTTGTGTTTTAACATCACATCAAAAACCACAAAATAAATATCCTTAAATCAAACTATTAAGTTCTAAAGCAGCATTTTTCTTACATTGTCTATTTGTAAGTTTCTATCATCATCGATGGAAATATTTTTTTCGTCTGTTTGTGTGTATTGGGTGAAGTCAACGTTTATTGACATTTGCCAATAAAAATCTATTCCTTCCAAGCCTATATATTAGGAATACCCAGCCTCTGGAGAAAGGGGGGGGCATGACTTGGATTTGCCTCTTTCCACAAACCAGCATTCCCTGAAATCTACAAAAAACAGAGATGCATGGTCAAGTTCCATCCTGCCTGTGAAGTCTGCAGACTGAGAAGCAGAAGTGGGACAAAGTGTGCATCACCACCACTAGGTTGCTGCCATTACATCAAGGTCTATGACCACTGAGGACATTCCAAGTTTCTGGGGCAAAAGGCCCACATTCTGGAATCCCAGTTGCTGGGATTTCAGTTCAGGCAGGAATCTAGTCTTCAGTCTGAATGGGGAGGGGGAAAGGAATGGAATCTGTTGGGATGGAGGATCCTGAACTTGATGTGCTATGTAGATGTATGGCAATGAAATCAAGATAGTGTGAGTGGGAACCCTGTTCTGTGGATCAACCTCATGAGGGGTGTTCTGTTGATCTTCTGTGGATAAATTAGGATGACCAGAAGGGAGAAAAGTATAAAGGGATGATGTATGGCTGTTATTTCACCTGAACATAGGCATTCATGGCATGGACTATGCTAATGCAGCTGTGACTCTGTTGCTGATGGGCATATACAAAAGCAGGAAGCTTCTCTGAGGAGACTGAACAGAAGGCAATGTAGCCACTAAAACCCAGCTGCTTCATCAGCATCAATCCAGTTTTTTTTAAGATCATCACTTCTTTGTACTGGTGACCAAAATCATACATCCAGCATTATGATTTCACTGAAGAAACAAGAGCAAACTATGCCTGAGATTGGACAAAATCTTCTAATGATAAATATCTTTAACTTAGAACAACTTTGAAAAACAGGTGAAAGTTCAATGGATTTAGAGGGGGAAGTGATGTGACACACATTAGGAGTTTGCCTCTCAGCACGACAGCGCCTCTTTAATTTACCTGATGCGGCTGATAAACAAGAAGATTGCATTCCTTATGCAACAGAAGCTATGTTATCAGAGTATGCAAATGGAAAAGGGCAAACCTAGAATGGGAAGATAAGTTAATTTTCAGCTTCACATGAAATATAGATTATTGGAGTGGAGTTACTCAAAGGGTCACCTTTGACAACAGCTAGTAGTTCAAAGAAAGATGAGGGGTCAGTTAAGGCAGAATGTAATTAACATTTTTAACAGGGAGGGTAATTAACCATGGAACAGACTGTCAAGGGAAGTGATACATTGACCACCACTTTGAGACTCTTAATATAGATTGGATCGCTTCCTAAAATATATGCTCTAGTTTCACCACTTATTTGCCTCAAAAATGTTGACTTATGTAGCACAGAAGAATAATTCCCATCAATTCAGCAGGAATTACTGTGTGAAGTTCTTTGGTCTGTTTTATTCAGGAAGTCAACTAGATGATCATAGTGGCCTTAAAATCTACAGACAAGAATGTCAAGGCTGACTGTCATTTTGGGGGGGCATCAATTTCTGGGTACCCAGCTCCACCCACATTAATGGGGAATATCCCCCCAACCTCCCACAGGGCAGGTACTTACCATTTTCTGAAGACCAGGCCTCTCTGCAGGGTTTATTTGAATACCCCAAAATTGAGACCACCAAAATCACTAGTCACTTTTCAAAAATTTGGCCTTTGAATGTACAGAGAGCATCAAAGACAAGTGAAGCAAACTACTGACGTTGAAAGTAAATGGATAGTCAGATTAGAGATACAAATTGTTCAGCAAACAAGAGCACAGAGATGCCTACCTGCTATCTAGACATTTTAATTCAGGTAAGACAGAATGACAATTAAAGTACACATGATATACTAATCCTTGGTGGCATTATCTGATTCATAACATTATTTGCAATAACATGGTTTCTGATAGCAGCAGCAGCTTTTTCAGTTTTGACATTTGAAGGGTTAGAAGCTATACGTTTAAAGAAGGAGAAAAATAAAATACTATCAACTCTCAAGAGTTTGAATGCCTTGAGGAAAAAACATTGCCAAGTAGGCATAACTTGCAAGGAGTGCTCATATTTTGGTTGTTAGTTATAGCAAGTAGTTACAATGAAAACAAGTTTTGAGATTTAAATTCATTTAAATACATTTAATTTCCAGGGCTTGATTCCATTTTAATTCATTTTAAGGGTAAATTATTCCTGTTTCTGACAGTTTCAAATGAATGTTTTAGTCTCCTAGAGTTTTAATGATGTATGTGTCATCTTGTGACTTTTGTTTGATGGCATGGAAAGAGACACTCCCTGCAGTGGCAACTGACGTGCTTTATGCCGGCAGTGCATTATACACCTAAAGGTTTCTAATGGGAAATGTTGGCATCTATGACCCTTTCTGAGAACGAGATCTGACATGCAGCACCTAATTGGGACCTCCTCATGAGAAAACCCAGTAGCAGTTGCATTAATTAGAATTAAATATCACATTTCATTACTCATAAAAAGGTCTTTAAACATTTAAGTTCTGAAGCTTGATCATAAAAGCTCAATATATTGTACTTACAAAGATATTGGTAACTGTTTTGATAGCCTTCTCTTTCCTTTGCATAAACTCGTCATCCTGCAAGACAATTAATTGACACAATTAAAAACCAAAAAAATTAAGCTTAAGCCTCAACACTACTAATGCATTTAGCACGCAGACATGTCAACTGGTTCCTAACTGAATAATTGAGCAGCTCATTTAAGTACACTTAACTCTACAATTGCATCAACAGTCTGTTTGTTCTCTGTT